ACAAGTATAAGAGGGTTGGCTTGCGGCGGGAGGCGGTAATTGCGTTATTAAGTCGAAAGTGAGGTGCTCGAGAGCGACATCGCCGCCACAACTTTTCCATGAAACGCGTACCAGTGGCCATACCTGCAATCACTACTCCCTCTAGTTTCCCCCTTGAGCCGGGGCGAATGCAAAATACAAAGCAAATTCCACCTTCGCCTCTCCCTCTCTTTCTTTCTCTTTCTGTCCATCGAGATCGAGGATTGGATGTTGCATTCGAGTTCTTTCGAGATTACGTCTTCTTTCAAACTACTTCTTCTCGAAGTGGTGAGTTGTAGGCGGTGGTTTTGTCGTTTTCACGGAAGATTGTTCCTTCTTCTGAGAGGCCGCTTCTTGAGGAGAATTGGGGGTAAATTTGTAATAAAAGTGATTGGAGATCTAAGTCAAACATGCTCTCGTACACTTGTCGTTCGAATATTATCTACGCCAATCTCGCAATATATAATATTCTACAAGAGAAGAAAATTTATCCCGATTCAACGTAAAATTTCAACGTCTATTCTCCTCAAGTAACAACCACTTCCCCTCTATCATCTAATTTTTTTTATTTCTTTAAGAAAAATTCCATAAGAATTCAAACCTAATTTTCTTCTATAAAATGCCATTTCCAATTCCAAATATATCGTCACACTCAGAAAATTTCATCATTAATAACATCCATGCTCGGTTATTTCGAAGGATATCGTGCCAACGACGACGTATCCTCAACTAACAACCACTTTTCCTCTATCATCCAATTTCTCTTATTTCTTTAAGAAAAATTCCATAAGAATTCAAGCTTAATTTTCTTCTATAAAATGCCATTTCCAATTCCAAATATATCCCACGAATCGATCCACATCCAGAAAATTTCATCGGATCCGATTTATTTATTCATTCAAAAACTATTTGATCGCTCGAACGAAACATTAATACATCCATGCTCGGTTATTTCGAAGGATATCGTGTCAACGACGACGTATCCTCAACTAATAACCACTTCCTCTCTATCATCCAATTTCTCTTATTCCTTTAAGAAAAATTCCATAAGAATTCAAACCTAATTTTCTTCTATAAAATATCCTATTCCATTAATACATGCTCGGTTATTTCGAAGAAAAATTCCATAAGAATTCAAACCTAATTTTCTTCTATAAAATGTCTCATTCCAATTTCAAATATATCTTACCATATATATATATATATCGAAGAAAAATTCCATGAGAATTCAAATCTAATTTTCTTCTATAAAATTTCCC